ACAACAAGCTACTTGTTTGCGTTATTGCTGCTCGGAATAGCAGTAAAAGCAAAAACAACAAAACCAACAACAACCACAATAACAATTGAATAACTTAAATAAATATGTAAATATGTATGTGTTTTTATTATTGTTACTATAATTGTTGTTTTTGTTATATAGAAGACAATGAATAAAAAAACAAAAAAGCCGTCCATTTTAAATGAAGTGTACATGCTTACGCACCATCCTGGATATATTTACATATATATACATAAAAATATACATCTATATATATATATATATATATATATATATATACATGTATATACAGATATATGTGTTTATATGTAGTTGTGTAAATGACAACTTGACAACGTAAATCAAGCATATGCACACTCTTGAGAGCGAATGTAAGAGTGAATAATACAACCAAATACATACATAGGCACACGAAGAAAGTAAATGTTATGTTGAATCTCATAAAACTTGTTAAAAATTTTTTTTTTTTTTTTTTTTTTTATGTAGTGGTAGTAAAACGAATGTACTCAAAAAAGTTACAAAAGAGCCAAGAGAACGGAAGTGTCTGTACGCGTACGTATACGAGGGGGTATTGTTAAGACTGCGTTAACTGTAAAGTGTAAACTGTAAACACTACGCTTGAAAAAAGGAAAAATTAAATGAAAAGAACCTTATGAAAAACAAACACATTTACACGCACTTATCTCATTATTTGTTATATGAAAAAGGCAGCAAATATTTTACTTTAACACGCACTTGAGATCGATTAAAGTCAATTTAAGATAGATAGAAAAAAATGCATCATTTTTCGTTATTCTTCTTCTTTTTTTCCTCTTCTTTTTTTTTTTTTTTTTTTTTTTTGCTGATTGTTGCAACAGTGCGTATGTGTTAGGTTTTTGCGAGCGAGGATAATAAAATTTCATATTTACTTGTCATGTTCACAGTTTCACGCAACAAAATAACATGAAACATTCTGCCACATTATTAAAAATGTTACACACATGCAAAAATGGTTTACGCACACAGCACATAGATCGTCGTATTACGTAAACCTATTTAAAAAAAAAAAAAAAAAAAAAAAGGCAAAAATACAAGCACACTAAGGCAAGGCATATATGTAGCCGTAGCAGTAGCAATAAAGGCATATGTAAAAATGTATAAGAGACTTATTTTAATTTCATTTTCCAGTGCTTTGCCATGGTAACCAATACATATGGTGGAACTTTTCGTGGCCGCACTAACGCTGTTACATACATATAAAAATGACCTTTACTGCTTTCGATTACTCGTTTCAAATAATGCCTACATGCGACATTTTAAATAACATACACACTCTTATTCATACGCACCCACCTTTAAAATTCACGCACACATACACACACACACACACACAATCGCACATAGAGGCAAACGCATACACATTTATGTGCAATATGCATATGCATGCCCACCGAACATACTTTGTGCGCCTTTTTTTTCCCTTTTTTTTTTATTTTTTTTTTTTTCTTTGCATGCAATGAACTTTAGTACGCATTGTAATAACAACGGTGACAACATGGATTAAATGTTCATTACTACATATGAATACAGCGAATGGAGGTTTAAACTTAAATTGCTTTCGTTACATAACAGAGTTAAATGAAATTAAATAAGCAAAAAAAAAAAAACAAAACAAAAAGCAAAAGAAAAAACTAATAAGAAAATTATATTCGGTCGTGAGCGAACCTTCTATACCCATCACCATTATCCTCAAAAGACAAAACAAGTAAAAGAACTAAATTTTCATTCTCTACTAAGGAGTTGATTTTTCTTATTTCCAACATAAAAATTTACTGGCAGTAAACTTGTCAGAGAAAATTAAAAAAAAAAAAAAAAAAAAATGGGTTTTGCGCGATAATTCGGAAATATGAGTTTTCAAAGCACCAGTCAGTTACTCGTGTAAAAAAAAATGACGGGCAGCCGAACATACGGATGCACTTAGGTGCATTCCAAATTTGGAGCTGATCAAGAATATATGTACTTTGCAGGGTATTCGAAGCCTGTTTCTGCGCATTATAAAAATAATGAAAAAATAAATAATATTGGGTAGGCATGGTCAATTGTTTTGTACAGGCACTAGAGGATTTTGTACATTACGCTGCTATAGTTTACGAGTAATGAGCAAGAAAACGAATTTTTTAATCAGTTTGAAAAACCAAGGTATTCTCAGTTAACGTGACACTATGGGCGTGTTCTTCGATCGATGTGAACTATTTTCCACACTAATCTGCGTGCAACAACTTGCAATGTTTCCACCGAATTTGCTTTATACTTGCGGCCAAAAGAATTTTTACAACCGAAACACACAGACGGACAGATGAACCGAATTCGATGCTGATCAAGAATATATATATTCTGTGGGATCTTTGATGCTGCCTTCTGGGCGTTGCAAACGTTTTGACAAAATGAATACATTCCGCATCGTTCGTTGATGGGTATAAAATTAACACATTGGTGCATAATCAACATTATATTATCACGTAATTACCAAGATATATAAAAAAATTATATCAAAATGAAGTGAGAAGGAAACGGACACATGAAATAATTCAATACTCGTAACTCTTTTTTTTTTTAACAATTTGGACAAAAGAAAATCTTATAAGTTTTTTATTTACAATAAATATAGATTTCTTTCTTTTTCTTTTATAAGTAATTCAATGCAATTAATTTCTATATACATATAGTCGCTAGTCTTCTTCTAATTGTCCATTGATTGGTTTAAACTCGTCTAACTTCCCGAAGCTGTTATCCAAATTGAATTGAATTCAACGGGCGACTTCGTAGTGATGTTGTAGATAAGTAAATGGTCATCACGCTGTGTTGGGAGAGCAGGGGTCGAGCTCTTCATATCGCTGGTATACAAGAACACGTTTCATACAAGACTTTCATAAGTGAAGACGATCAATATATATATTTTTGAAGCCCTTGAATCGAAACCGTATCGTAACTGACTATGAAAATAATTTCCCAAAAAAAAGAAAAATTATTGTTACTATGGACATGAATTAGTGTCCAGGGTCGATGCATGAAATGGGCCAGATGCATACACACACACAGCGCCGAAATATACGCCGAAGATTCCGAGTCAATGTTACGAAACGTATAAAAATTTATCATTTAACCCAACGACGAAAGCTGTTGGGGATGCTTCGAAACGGAACATTTTTTCAACCGCTTCCCGTATATAGTCTTATATTGAACAGTAGTTATATAAACAGCTATAGGTTGGTGTAGGATATTTAATAATTGGCCGTGTTGGCCAATAAGCCTTTTTAGCACTCGATTATGGGTGTAGGGAGAAGACGCGTCAATTGTGTCAGAGTAACTGGTAAGCAGGATAAGCACAAATATATATGAACAAACGTCAGCGAGATAGACAACAACAGAGAGACCTAAAATCTTAAATCGATCAATGAAATGTTTTCTGATCGATATAATAAACGTTGGGTCTATCTGAAGTCCTTCTGCTACATGTTATACATACAAGCGTACATATTTTATACATCCGTTCCAAAAGTAGTATAGGGTACAATTATAGTTGGTTTGAAAGACTTGAGCTTTCACCGATGGTTTCTGGTAACGTCTTCCATTTTTAGTTCAGGGTTCCATTCCGGATTACGCGCTGCATTTACTTTATTTTTGCTTTTCTTTATGTGCTTATCGGTTTCTCGTATCTATTCTATCTATACTTCGGTCAATCAATTTTGTCAATTATTTTCACATTTCTAAGCAAACAGCGATACATAAATACATTCTCGCCGTTTCAATAACACCCACGAAATGTTAATACTTATTTGATTTCAACAATACATACATACACTAATAATTCGCTAAATTGCATGAGACAATTCATCTGCTTTTGTGTGCAGAAAATTGATCCATAACTTGTTTTATGTAGGAGAACAATAACAAGAATCGTTATTGATACACGGAACAGGCGACCTGTGTTCTGTGTTATGCTCTTAATTAAATTTTATATTAAAGCTAATTCGATCCTTTTATTTACACCCTTACCACATAGTTATGACAGGCGACCACATGTTTCTATTGTAACGAGAATATCCCTAATAAAAGTTACAACCATGATCATCAGGTAGATGATTGTAGATGAACAATTACAAAATTATGTCTTTCTTTATCTCTTTATTTAGAGTGCAATCTGTCTCATTTCAAGAAAATGAAATAATTTTTCTTCTATGAAAAGCTACAATAATGTTGATATATGTTCAATGGCCAGTCAAGTCATCTATTAGTGTAATCTTGCTTCACAAAAGTTGTGGAATAATTTGTTACTTCTCCTTGGTATTTTCTTTTTTTTTTTTTTTTCTTTCTTCTTCTTCAACATTTAATAATAATCAGTTAAATGGGTTTGTTTTTCATCGAAAAATTTCCGGACTTTACATCTAATATAATATTTAGGTTATATTTTTCGACGAGACATAAATGTGTTTCCTAATCTTTTCAATCCGTTCTATGTTTTTGTAAATGTTGCCTTTTGAATGCATGAAATTCATCCTTCAATTCGCATAAATAGAAAGAAAAATAAACGCTTTTACGTTAAACGAACTTAATCATCGCAACACGTGAATCGACACCGTTAGCTTGTATCACTTTCCTTTTTTCTGAGGGAAAGCACCCGAACAAAGCGAACACTTTAGCTTAGATTGCTTCCATTTACCAAATTATCTTTCGTACGAAATTTACGGGAGCCTTGCATTCACTTATTTTTACATCAATTTAATGAGTAAGTTTGGCGAGCCGTCACAGTCGTCACAATCGCAAAAATGAAGATGAGAAGTTGAAATTAGAAATAGGCATTCATTAATCGGCAAAAGAATATGAGATTAGAAAAAAAAAAATAATCGTGAGCTCTTCATATACCATGTAAAAGAAACTAAAACTATTTTTGTCCGTAATCTTCAATTCCGCGAATAAATTTTTAATAAACAATCACTTACAGGTTCGTGAGAACTATTTACATGCTGGGTGCACACCTGAAAAACACAAATATAGTTTTGTTATTATTATCTAACACATCTAGCAAATAAAATTAGGATGTGGATTAGCAAGGAAAACTATCGGCATCACTTACGGCCGAGAGTATATTAAGTTCGTGCCGACGAATGTGAAACGCCGAAGGACCTAAGATAGATCCAGCTTTAATCGTCTCAATCGATCATTATAGTACTTTGACAGAAAACTTAATTGAACAAAATTTGAAGCACATAGGTCTATTTTTTTGGACACCACTCTAATGGGGTCTATAAGCGAAGATGTTAGGATGAGAACCGCTATTTAAAAACTATATTTTATCTATTCTCTAGACAAGTGGCTATCTTTGCTTATAATTAAGTCATTTTGCGGGACATTTTTTTTTTTAGAACAAATTCGAAATTCGAACGAAATGCCTGTCAAACCGCAATAGACGACAAAATCGAATTAATCGACGAAAACGTAGGATACTATGCATTATAGGCAATTTTTATATATCAAAACTGTCGATCTTTAAGAGAGTTAAAAATGCTCATAAATCCCATCCGGACAAAGGTAACTTCTTGCACGTTATTGTTTTTATTTCAGTTATCATAAATTCCAATGGGAGTGAAAGCAAACAAAAATTTATATACAAAAAGTAGAAAATTTCAATAACTCGATACATACTCATACATGTTGTCAATTTTTCTCAAATTTTAAAAGCGAAAAACTTTTCTCACAACACCAACAACACAAAGATATTCAAATCTTTCATTTTTTTTTTTTTTTAGCATATTTAAGAAACATTTTTAACTTATTTACCAGAAATACTTTTATAAATAAGTATTGATGGAAATTATTTGTGAGCATACGTGTGCGTGTGTCGGTGTGTGTGTGTGTTTTTTATCTTATTTTAATTGGTTCTTTTTTTTTTTTGGAAAGCATTAACAGATTAAAGTCAGTGGGACTTTCACCGCACTTGTGAGTCTGACGATAATCATCCCGGAACTACCGATAAGTATTACGTTGGGAGAAGCATCCAGGCCTTAGCTCAAATCGTCTGTTGCAGCGTTACGTGTATCGTCGTAAGCGCTCCCCTTCTCTTAACTTAGTCTCACTTATGCCTTGCCCTAGGGTGCATATTTCTGGATAAAGCGGGCCTGGTTATCTCGCCAGGTTATTCTAAGGCACTCTTTCTCCTAGAGTCTGAGTTAACGCCTCTTTCGCAGCTGCGAACTAATAATCTTCAGCCACATGCGTGTGTGTGTGTGTGTGTGTGTGGGTACAAATATTGTTTACCAAAAAAAACTTATTCGACTGTCATCGATATTCATCTCTTACAAGACAGATAAGAGAAACGTTGAATGCAAACAAAAAATATATAGATCTAGACTACATTCTAAGATAAATGTAAAACTGTTTACTAACGAAATAAACTAGAAAAAGTTACAAATTCAAAGCAAGTTACAAAATCAAAGTAATTTACTGACAACATCTTCTAAAACAATTAAAACAATTAAAAAGGAATTTTATCTGTGAAGATGACCGCCGTTCTAGGAAAGAAAAAAGTAATTACTCCTCACCGCCAGCCAGTACGGTTTCAGTTGTAAATATCGTATCGTATTAAGCAAAGTCGTCGCGCCGTTTCGAACATCAGCGACCGTATTGAATTTATATTTAACGGCAATGGCTTACTTGTAGACGTGATACTCTTATGTATATCCTGCTTATGTCTCATTTAAAAAAGTAAACATTTCTATATTAAAGTTGACAATGATACGTAGATCGAAAATATTAATAAAAAAAAAAAAAAAAAAAAAAAAAAAAAACAAAAGTGTATCCAAGTATCCAAGGGAAATGTTTTTAATCTAATACTCTATACAATTTTCATTTCAGTATATTAACTAACTTGGGAAAATCTCGTCTAAGTGAATCGAGTCTTAAATAAGCAGATTAAAAAGGCGTTGTATACTGGATCTTCCATTAGGCAATTAATTCATTTTTGTTCTTTAAATGTATTTTCATGGATTTTTCAACCTTTAAATAATTTCTTCTTTTTTTTTTTTTTGTATTGTTATATGTTGTTCCCATTTGAGTTCAATAACTGATTTCTCTTATAACATTCACTTACTACCTTTTCGACGAATAGATTGTAAATTAGATATGAAATTAAAGGCAAAAAACGAATGGTGTTAAAAACAAATTTTTACATACTTTTTTAAAAGCATCAAAAAAAACTTAAAGAAGAACAGCCGATCATTTGTCTTCAAATACATATTTCAAAGTTGTACGCATCATGTACTTACCCTACGTACATCTGGGATATGTATGAGTTAAGGAATAAGTAAAAAAGTACACACGGTATTAATTGCATGTTTTTTTTTTTTTTGTTGTTGTTGTTGTTGTTTTCACGTGCGAAAATGGTTTCGCGCATTATCTCTTTAAAGCAAAAATGTTTTGCAGTTCGTAAAATTACTGACACAAAGAAAAACGTTGTTAAAGAACTTAAGTTGAACCTTATTTTGTTATTTTTGCACTTATATTATTACTCTACGTTTGAAAAAGAAAAAGAAAAAGAAAAAAAAAAAAGGAAAAGGAAAAGGAAGAATGAGCAGCGAATAAATGGTAAAGAAAAAAAGAAAGCAAAAAACAACGAAACCACTGCCACTAAAGATGCTTAAAAACTTGGAATAGTTCTAAAGTCTTAACAAAAATAAACTGAAACAAGCAAGAACATCGTACTCGGGAAAGTTCGACCTTCAAATCCCCTACATCATTTCGACCAGGTCAATTACTCGTTTAGGTAATAAAATATGAATAATAACTCATGTTGTTTTTCCCATGAAAACCCGTCGTAGAGGAAAAGCCCTGCTTAATTATGATAACCCTTACGGATCTAAAAAAATAGACCGATGTGAGCGAAATTGCTCGCTGTTCATTTTTTTGAGTTAATTTGCTACTATGGACCGATCAATTTTCTTTAGAAAATATTAAAAATGAAACCTTTTTTTTAAGAGATTACCATTTATAGGAGATATTATATAGAATGGATTCAAAGAAATAGGCCGATGTGGTTCAAATTTGATTTACATAATTCGTATATAAGATTACGCTCTTGAAAAAAATGTTCATTATAAAACATTAGGTTTTATGGCATATAAGGGCTTTTATGAAATGTAATGGTATCCCATGAATAGACCTATGTGGTCCAAATTCAGTAAGGTTGATCTCTTTATCAATTCATTATTGAAAATTAGACCTTTTCACCGTATGAAGATTGATTGCGTTTTCGTAGGAACGGTTATATAAGGGGGAGCTCAAAAACTTGCCCTAGCCGAATCAAATTTTTCCTACCGCTTCAGAATGTCGAAATATAATTACACCGCGAGTTTTGTCGATATATTTTAAAATATTTAAAATTTTTTACATATACCGACCATTCAAAATAAGGCGTTATATGGGAGGAAGTGATCGAAAAAGCGGATCGATTCGAACGATTTTAAGTAGCGTTCATCCTTGGATCAAAGCGTGACGATATGTACCAAATTTATATGGAAAGACCTGCAGACGGACGCACAGGCTTAGATCGATTCAGAAAATGACTTCAATTCAGAAAATAATAATGAATATATTTAAGGCCCTTTGCACGCTACATCCGTCCGCACAAAATCAATATATCCTGTAGCACAAGTGCTGTAGGATATAACATCTAAGAAACCTTACTTTTCTTTTAGCGGATCTATGATACCCAGGATGACAGATATTAAATGTAAGTAAGAAGAAGACAAATAATTGCGCCTATCAGTTTTATCAATTACATATCGTACAGTAAAGTTCATTAGTAAATTCAGTTTTGTAACTTTAATACAAGATTTTTACACAAGGTCTCCTCTTTCTTTAAGACTCACAAAATGCTTTGAGATAATCAATCATGTTTATAAAGTACTTCATGTATTCAAGGATGCCCATCTTTGAATGTTACAACAGGAACGGACAAATTAATATACCATTACTTTTACTGAGATGAGCATAAAAAAGAATAGATTCTGCAGGACGTCAAGTTTGACCTTAACTAACGATGACGACGAAAAGTATTCATTCGGTTTTATTTGCGATGAAGACTTAAAAAAATAAAAAAAAAAAAAAAAAGAAAGAAAAACGGGAGTTAAAAGTACCAAACAAAAAACAACAAGCAAATAAACTGTACTCACATAAAAACGAATCTTGGACACCATATAAATGAATTCATAGAAAGAATGAAAATAAATTCTTAAACTAATTGAAAACGAAAGTCTTGACCACCAGGAACAAAGGCTATCGGCTCTACTTTGGAGAAAAAATAAAAAAAAAAAAATAATATATTGAGTCTAGTAGGAGTTTTAGAAAAGTAATATATTAAATTAATATTTCAGAATGTCCATAGGATCAGCTGTTCCGAATGCGACTCTTCTAACGGAGAAAAAGTTTACACACAACATAGATCACGAAGCAAGTGCTTTATTATAAGAATTTGTTCACAATTGCAGATTGCAGAAGAGGATTCCTTTTCGATCCATTGGTATATTGCCATTATATAGCCAAAGCGAATTCTCGCAAAAGATTCTGAAATAGATTTTATCAATATTGGTTTGATGTGCTTCCGTTAATTTTTAATCAGCGAGTTCTACATACAATTGATAAAATAATCGGAGATACCGTGCACATGGAGACATCACATAACAATTTTCCACCTGGCATCCATTCAGCGTGTGCCGACACTAATCGTATGAAGCGGTCAAAGTTGCATTTTCGGCCCTTCATTACTTTTGTCGTTTATTTGAAGAAATCTGCTAATATAATAATTTTCTCTCTCTTTAACTCTCATTCCCAAACTATCTTGGAAGGTCCAGGTTTTCGAGACCTTTTCACTTGATGATTAGCTCCCAATTTCCCAATACACCGATATGACTACGTACGCAAAGCGTTTTCATTCTATCAGAGCATGTTGCGATGGTATTCCTTAATTTATTACGGCTTTTTTAACTAAATTCAATTCATTTCAAATTAGTTAAAACGTGGACCAATATTCATCATGAAATTTTATTAAGTAAAATGTTAACAATTAAATTTTGTTCTCAATTACTTACTGTTTGTGACAAATCTGATATGCATTGAGATCGAAAAAATAGACTCACATCCTTCAAATTTTGTCCACATAATTTGCACATGAAATTATTATTAGAAACAAAGCACCGACCGACCCGTGTTCGCACTTCTTCAACTTTGCGAACTCGCTTGCCAGCCAAGCCATGCTGTGCCGATTTGAGTGGCACATGTGGTACATGGCAAGTGTAATTTTTCGTAAGTACGCTGGGTGTGGCAGAACTTCCCATCCGATCGGGAACCGGGTGTCCTCGACAACTCTTGCAGCAAATGACATTTTCAGTCAATTCTGTAAAATGAAAACCCACAGTTAAGATATGATGAAGCAGCATCATCATAAACGTTTGAACGTGTTCGATGGACTTTGGCAGCAAATTTCTTCAAGTAAACATCAAAAGTAATGAATTTTGAGAGAAAAAGAATTTTGAGCGATCCATGATTAGCGCCGGCGTACGCTGAATAAGCCAGAAATATTAAATGGAAATGTGTTATTTTGTATAGAGGAAGGTCAAAACCGAACATCGAATTCCGCTGTTATGTACGCTGGTATTTCCCATTCTTTAATCATCTTTACGTGTAGAAGTCGCTGATTAAGATATTTGCAAACACCTAACAGTAAGTGAGATTATAATGAATCAAACCAGACCAAGTCGAATGATTCATTCCTCTCAATGTTATGTATTCTTGTATTTCTCGTATAAATAATACTCGGTCAGACGACTCTTTACCTTTACTTGCCTGACGCATTTGATTGAAACTTCGACTTATCCGACACAAACGATCTTCTATGGATGTTTCTTGTTGCTCTTAACAACTAAATATCTATTCGTCTTTGCTAAATAAGTGCATGTATATGTGTATTTCATCTTCATTCTATTGAACTTAGCTCAATTTAAAGTCGTGGTTAAAGTAAGAATTAAAAAAATTGAAGACTTTTTAAGTTAACATATTTGGAATTTGATATGTGAAGGAAGTGTGTGTTCCATGTTTACCTTATTACCTCAAAGCAAAGAAAATTTATTTACGAAATTTAATGCAATTTATTGAAAAACATTTAATACACAGTCGATGACCTTTTTAAATCACAAACAAGTTGTTGACGCATTAGTTTATTGTTTCTTTCACATACAACACGGGAATGGTTTATGTCCGATCAAAACGGGTGGAGAAAACGGGGGGGGGCAAGGAGAAATAAAAAAAGCAAAAAAGAAACTTTTTCGATCTGCTTTCGTCGCACCTTTTTCACTTTTATCACTTTGAAATGTTATCGATTTTATGATAATAAATATATATTACGGATAATTACATTTTTGTTTTTGTTTTTGTTTTTTTCCTTTTTTTTTTTTTTTTTGTCTTCATCCATATTATGTGGCGAAGTCTTCTTTTAGTTTTAAAACACATGTTTGCTGAAGACATTCGAGAAATAATAGTTCACTTAGGTTGAGTGCACACACAAATTCATATGCAAATAGTTTATACAAATTATTTAATTGTATTTATGATGTGATGATGCTGTTTTAAAAACATATGTATATATATGTATATATATATATATATATATATGCTCGCAATAGATTTTGCACATGAAATTGAAGATGCAAATGTGGTTAAAGAAAGATCTAAAGATAGTTTATTAAATATTCAAAAGCCAAATGGAAGGTTCCTCTTTACTTTTGTTTTTCTAGTGAGCTATGCAAACGTTTGGGCAGGTGAAGTAGAAGAGTGTAAATTTTAAAGTTTAATTTTGTTGTTGGCGAACGTAGACATAGCCACACACACACACACACACACACATATGGAGTGAGTGTAAAGGTGGGGAGAGGTATATATATATATATATATGTATATACATTTAGAGATATAAGCAAAACAATGAAACCAGGTCAAGTGAGGTGTCAGATGAAAGACAAAACCCAACTAAAACTTGTGGTGCTAAGAGAAGCCACATGAATATATATATATAGTTATATATATATATAACTCATACTATACTATGGGTGCACATACACTTACATATATGCATATATATGCTTTACGTAAAGGGACATGAATTATATAAATAACCCGAAGTATAAGTAGAAGAAAAATCATTTTTTAAGATCCGGACAAGATGACACTTCATATGAACATAAGTTTCTTGCTAAATCACATACGAATACGCTCACCTAACCTAACCATTGTACATATCTACATGGGTATGTTTAAATACGTACGTGTGTACATCATACAACAGTAAGAACATAACTAAAAAAATAAAAAAATAAATAAATAAAATAAAAAAAAAAAATTTTTTTTTTTTGTCTTAAAACTTGTCTACATATAAACACTTGTAAGCAAAAATGCTTACTTCTATATATTTATGTACACGTTACCAAGTGTACGCGTAACCTTAACGATTGGATAACCTGGCATATATGCGTGTGTAAGCATATATGGGAAAATCTTATACCATACATAGTATAGTTGAAAGGCGGTGGATTTTAATTTTAGTTGCTTACGCTTACAATCTTTAAAGTGGAAAACATAATGTTTAGGAGGTTATGCGCTGCGCGTGGAACGTATATAAATTATTGGAAAACATTTTGAAAATTTCACCCTTTTTTTTTGCCAAACAAAACAATGATGCATTTATGAAAGCTATAGAAAATCATGTCTTGATCTTTCCAGTGCAATACGCTTTTAAGGAGATCATTTACAGTTCTATTAAAAAAAAAAAAATAAATAAATAAAAAAAAAAATCAATGAAATTTTTCACTTACTCTACTCGTTTCACATTTCGTTAATGTTAACGTTAATGTAAACGCTAGTCATATGATTTTGCTTTAGCAATTTAGCCAAGCAATGTTTTCAACTGATCAACGCATAATGCATGCCCAGCACATGACGCAAACATCGTGTTTCTCACTTTAAAAAAGTTGGAATTTTTATGAACAATATCAGAAGTTTGCTAAGGAAGAATGAGAGAGAGAGGACTAAAGCCTCCTTGCATTAATCGCGGTGCAATGTGCATTTTTATGCACAAATACACACATATAAACACATACATTTATGCATAGCCATGTAAACAGTTGCACACCAGCAATTACTCCAGATATATATATATATATATACATATATATATATACACATATGTATATATTTAATGTACATATGTAAAAGGGGGGATGGAGTAAAAAAAAAAAAAAAAAAACCATAGCGTAAAAAATGCTAACAAACAATTCAACGAACATTTAAATGAGTTTTCGTTTCTTTTTAACATTTTGGCTTTTTTTTTTTGTTCTCTTCTTTTTTTGTTTTTCAATTTTAAATTAAGAAATTTTGCCATAGAGGCATCATTCTACAGATGTTAGATAAAATGAAATAAACACACAAAACAAACGAAGCAAAAAGCCTACATACCCATATACCTTAAGTCGAAATATAAATATCAACGATGCTTACCATCTTGATATTGAATCGGTTGCCTTCCTATTCCTTAAATGAAGAACGAAATTTTTAAATGGTTAAATTCATGGGCTTATCCTACATTGATCTCGATTTTGTATAATGTAAAGTTACATTTGAAAGAGTTCGTCGTAAATATTTATATTTTGAATGTTTCCTTTCTAATATTGTTAAGAGGTTATAACTTAAATGGATTCATAATAGCCATATTAAATTGATACCGATCTAAATGCATTGGCATCATACAACAAAAAAAAAAAAAAACACGTCTATATCTCTTTGTATATTATAATGCTTTCCGTCGAAAAATGAGTGCATGTATATGGGTGCTTACACCCTACGCCAATTATGGATATATACAACTTTTATTACATCATTCATTTTTCAAATTGAATTTGGTCTGTCTGTGTGTCTTTTTCTCCATATCTATCTATGTATTACTTTGTGTTCACATGAGGTCTGTTCTTTTTTTTTTTTTTTCCTTTCAATTTCATCAGTCAAACTCACTAAATAATGCTAGGTAATATTCATTATATATCGTTTGTTAGTTTTCATGATAGTCGATGAATATTATAATACGCGTATCCGGAAATACGGACCGATTTTTGCATTTTTTCTCGCTTTGGATGGCTTTTGCGCGGTTGCTGTCCACTTGACCGACCACCAATTTGACTCTCGACTGCAGTAACAAATTCATGTTTCATCCATTGTCATATCTCGCTTTCTCGCGGACACATACTAAATACACTGCATTCCGATATCGTTAAGCTGGCTTCTTGTCTCATGTAACTTTCGTTGTCTGTCTTCGAAAACGAATTTATTCACTTTTTCTTTGTGCTCTCTGAAACAACCGTCGTCTTGGGGCAACCAGAGGATTCGACATCAGCATTTAATTAGGAAACTAGTTCTGTACCATATGTCTCGACGGACACAACTTGTCAAGCTACTGCTTTGCTTAAGCGGCATATTTTCCCATTTAGGAGCAACGCCGCCTGATCAGCACAAGAGAAAGGTATTTTCTAATAGTTTTGAAAATTGCAAAACTAATATCAACAACACAAACAAGTGTAACTTGTGAACTAATGGTTGGTACGTGATGAAATTTTGACTCAGTTCAGCTGACGGATGGATTCGTGAATAACGGCGCGAACCTTTATATGTAATCCTATGAAATTATTGACTGATGTATTAGATCACTGCTTATTTCAGGGACCGTAATTTTAATATATCGAAAAATAAAAGTCATATCTGTTGCGTAGCTTATTATGCAATTAACTTATATTAAATTTCATATGTATATGCATACATATTACATATATTCATTTGTCGCAATCACCCAACAGATGCATACGTTTGCTGATACGTTAATCAAAGTTTTTAAATGGATATCAAAACATATCTGCTCAATGCAAAAACAAAAAATAAATAAATATATAAATTTTAAAATAACGGTACTTTGAAATACATATCACGCAAGTCACATCAATTTTTTTTAGTATAAATAAAACGTTCTAAGCGAGAAACTCAAAATTTAAAACTCAATGACATATATATATATATATATATATATATATATATCACTCTATAAAGAAAAGAGGTTTGTGATATTACAAAAAATTTCTATCTTTATATTTTTATTCATTAAACTTTTTATCGCTAATGCTTTTCGTTCCGTTTTTTGTCTTAGGCTCAGAATTTTTTCTTTTTCTTTATTACAGTTTTTTAGCAGAGATTCAAAATTTGAATTACAGAGGCTAAACGGAGCGATTAAATATTTAATTTTGTAGTAAAATTAAAGCATCGTCTCCAACTCAAACAATTACTATTATTATCATTATTTTTTTTTTTTTTTTTTTTTTTTTTTTATAGCCTCCATAGAAAG